AACAGCCCACTGAGGTGTCTGTTACACACACACACATTTTACACACATCTGGAAGTCTGTGCCTTTTTTTTATAGACTTGTTGACTTATCTAAAGAGCAGGCTAACAGAGAGGAGAGACAAGCAGAGAGAGAGAGACTGAGAGAGACAGAGACACAGAGAGACAGAGATCTCCCAACTGCGGTCCAATTCCCACTGGTCACACAGCCAAGGCTGGGGAGGCTGAAGCTAGGAGCCAAGCGCCCCATCTGCCCACAGGGGTGTCAGGGACCCCAGGGATTGGGCCAGCCCCACTGCCTTCCCTGGGACATTAGCAGGGAGCTGGACGGGAAGCGGGGCAGCAGGGACTCAAACAGGTGCTTCCAAATTGGAAGCCACGTGGGAACCCCAAGGGGCAGTTCACCCTATGACCCACGGCTTCCTCCTTTCCAAGAGTCAGTCCACTAACAGACCCAATCAGAACGGGACCGGAACAGGATCCCCTCCGGCAGCGCAGTGCTGGCCACCTGCCGACTGCCGACAAACCGCAGGCCGCCTGCACGCTGCCACAGCGACCACCAACGGGCAAAAGCAACAAACAGCCAACCTCCTGGAGCGCTGGTCACGCCTGGCCACTCTCCTGGGCATCTCACAGGGGCTCACCCTTTACCTCCTGAGAGATAAGCCTCCTGAACCTGCCTCCTACACTGCCCAGAAATGTTGCGTTGTGCAGAGAAGGTGTGCTGCCGAAAAGGAAGTGGCCGAAACACTCAAGCCCAAGATGAAACTCCCTTAAGCACAACTCACTAAGACTTCCTATCTCAGTGGGCAGGACTTCCTGCCAATGAGTCACCAGACCAGGTCATCCTGCAGGCGCTCCTTCCACCCACAACTCGAGGAGTGCTGCCCTGTGGGATGGGCTCAAGTCACTCTGTTCAGCCTCCACACCCACTAGCAGGGCCAGTGAACTGACCCATGGGGGCCTGCAGAGCACCCCAAAGACCACAGGAAAGTACAGAGCTCAATTCCGAAGCCCACTGGCAAAAGAAAGAGGATGCACTATCTAAACGCAGACTCCGGGGGTCTCACCACGGAACAACTCAACTGCCCAGGAAAGAACCAGAGGCCGCCCTGTGCCAAGTGACGACCAAGCCAGGCATGGCCACAGCACCGGCATGGAGGGGAAGGGCACATGAGTCCAGACTGACGTGCCCGCCTGCCCAAAGTGACCAACAGAACCTCATCATGGGAAACATCCAACAGACCAAGGGACAGCCGGCACAGCAGCTGGCCTGCGCAGACCGAGGGCACAGTGGGCAGCGCTGGTCCAGGGGCAGGCCCACCCACCACGGCTCTGGGTCTGTGCCCTCACTCGAGCTCCCGACGGCAACAGCCTGCTCACGCGGAGCCTGGGAGGCAGAGACGATGGCCCAAGACGGGCTCCCGGCACCACGGGCAGGCCTCCAGCAGTACGTCCCTGGCTCCTGACTCGGCTTGGTCCAGCCCCAGCCACTGCAAGCATGCGAGAATGAACCAGCAGGCGGGGGCTCCACCACCTACCTCTCTCTTTCAAAATAATCAAAAACTTACATTAGAACACGCACACACAGCTCCTACACACATCGCAGCTGACCGTACACAGGGCTCACTCTGGACGCCAGGTTAGCAGAGAGGCACAGGACATTGCTGGCAGACCTGACAGAACATGAATACGGACTGCTCTGACAGTAAACACAGCCCCGGGCCGCTGGACGCACCGTGGCTTGCCACTCCGCTACACTACCATGACACCATGGACATCGTCGCCCGTAGTAGCACCCAGGGCGACGCTCAGGGGTGCAGAGATCTCTGGCTGGCTCTCCCGTGGTCTGGGAAACACACCCAGAACAGCACCGTGACAAACGCAAACAGCCGGGACACCTGCGGAGGGCAGGTGAGACACTCCTCTCTAAGCCCACAGTCACACTGACAGGAAGCCGTGCCAGCACGCGGACACGGGCCACTGTCACCAGAAGCAGAGACAGCACGCGGACACGGGCCACTGTCACCAGAAGCAGAGCCAGCACGCGGACACGGGCCACTGTCACCAGGAGAAGCCAAGACAGCACGCGGACACGGGCCACTGTCACCAGAAGCAGAGCCAGCAAGCGGACACGGGGCACTGTCACCAGAAGCAGAGCCAGCACGCGGACACGGGCCACTGTCACCAGGAGAAGCCGAGACAGCACGCGGACACGGGCCACTGTCACCAGGAGAAGCCAAGCCAGCACGCGGACACGGGGCACTGTCACCAGGAGAAGCCGAGACAGCACGCGGACACGGGCCACTGTCACCAGGAGAAGCAGAGCCAGCACGCGGACACGGGCCACTGTCACCAGAAGCAGAGCCAGCACGCGGACACAGGGCACTGTCACCAGAAGCAGAGCCAGCACGCGGACACGGGCCACTGTCACCAGGAGAAGCCGAGACAGCACGCGGACACGGGCCACTGTCACCAGAAGCAGAGCCAGCACGCGGACACGGGCCACTGTCACCAGGAGAAGCCGAGACAGCACGCGGACACGGGCCACTGTCACCAGGAGAAGCCGAGACAGCACGTGGACACGGGCCACTGTCACCAGGAGAAGCCGAGACAGCATGCGGACACGGGCCACTGTCACCAGAAGCAGAGCCAGCACGCGGACACGGGCCACTGTCACCAGGAGAAGCCAAGACAGCACGCGGACACGGGCCACTGTCACCAGGAGAAGCCGAGACAACACGTGGACACGGGCCACTGTCACCAGGAGAAGCCGAGACAGCACGCGGACACGGGCCACTGTCACCAGGAGAAGCCGAGACAGCACGCGGACACGGGCCACTGTCACCAGGAGAAGCCGAGACAGCACGCGGACACGGGCCACTGTCACCAGAAGCAGAGACAGCACGTGGACACGGGCCACTGTCACCAGAAGCAGAGCCAGCACGCGGACACGGGCCACTGTCACCAGGAGAAGCCGAGACAGCACGCGGACACGGGCCACTGTCACCAGAAGCAGAGCCAGCACGCGGACACGGGCCACTGTCACCAGGAGAAGCCGAGACAGCACGCGGACACGGGCCACTGTCACCAGAAGCAGAGCCAGCACGCGGACACGGGCCACTGTCACCAGGAGAAGCCGAGACAGCACGCGGACACGGGCCACTGTCACCAGAAGCAGAGACAGCACGCGGACACGGGCCACTGTCACCAGGAGAAGCCGAGACAGCACGCGGACACGGGGCACTGTCACCAGAAGCAGAGCCAGCACGCGGACACGGGGCACTGTCACCAGGAGAAGCCGAGACAGCACGCGGACACGGGCCACTGTCACCAGGAGAAGCCGAGACAGCACGCGGACACGGGCCACTGTCACCAGGAGAAGCCGAGACAGCACGCGGACACGGGGCACTGTCACCAGGAGAAGCAGAGCCAGCACGCGGACACGGGGCACTGTCACCAGGAGAAGCCGAGACAGCACGCGGACACGGGCCACTGTCACCAGGAGAAGCCGAGCCAGCACGCGGACACGGGCCACTGTCACCAGGAGAAGCCGAGACAGCACGCGGACACGGGCCACTGTCACCAGGAGAAGCCAAGACAGCACGTGGACACGGGCCACTGTCACCAGGAGAAGCCGAGACAGCACGCGGACACGGGCCACTGTCACCAGAAGCAGAGCCAGCACGTGGACACAGGCCACTGTCACCAGAAGCCAAGCCAGCACGCGGACATGGGCCACTGTCACCAGAAGCAGAGCCAGCACGTGGACACGGGCCACTGTCACCAGGAGAAGCCGAGACAGCACGCGGACACAGGCTGGCCTCCAGCAGTCCGTCCTGGAGACACCTGCATATGCTGCCGGTTTGGACCATAAATAAAAGCAGGGAAGAGCTGTGCTCAGAACAGGAACCGCATCTTACCAGCCACGAGACTGCCCAGCAGCCCACCTTGGCTGAGGCCCTGCGACCCCCCCGTCCGCACGGGTCACCCCCCCAGCCTCCTGGGCCTCACCTGCAGCCTGGGGACAGGCCGTCCGCGTGGCCCATGCACCACCTCCTGGCCAAGCTGGGCACTGCACCTCCCAGGCCTGGGAAGGAGGGGACCTCGGCGGCCACTGGAGCACTGCCCACAGCAGTCCGCTGACAGTCCGCCCCAACCTGCGTCTAGATCCTCCTGCGTCTAGATCCTCGAGCAGGGAGCAGCCCCAAGGGCAGAGTGGCACTCAGAGATGGCCCCGAAAAGGAAGCAACATGAAGGGGTGCCCTGAGAGACTGGGGAGTCGGGACATGCTCCAGAGCACCCCACAGGGCATAGGGTTGGAGCTGGACCGTGAGCCTCCCTCAGCTCCCCGGGAAAAATAACAGAGCCCCCTGATGCCCTGCTCCCCTGCCCTGGGCTCCTGGATTCCTCGGGTCCTGGGCCTTGCCTGTCACTCTCTGGGCAGGTCAGGCTGCTGGTCACCAGCCCTGCCTTCAGGACACTCCACAGAGCCCGGCCAGCCCCACACAGCTCACCCCGAGCAGCAGCAAGAGCGAACCAGGAATTCATAAAATGCAACAGGAGCCGCATCATGAGACAGGATGGAAATATGTCAACATGGGCAGCACTGTGGCACAGTGGGTTAAGCCGCTGCTTGCAACACCGGCATCCCAACCCAGGAAGGGAGGGCCACGCCCTGCCTATCTGCTTCTGGTCCAGCTTCAGTAATGTGTCTGAGAGGGCAAAGGAGATGACCCATGCACGTGGGCCCTTCATCCCTGTGAGAGAGCCAGATGCAGTTCCTGCTCTTGGCTACAGTCTGACACACACCTGGTTGTTCTGGCTAGAGCGAAAGCAGGTAAAAAAATCTCTGACTTTTGATCAAAATAACTGTTTAAAATATACGTGAGGAACATATTAACAAAGCAGGTCCGAAGGAAAGTGTGAGGACGGAGCCTCAGCCACCTCTGAGGTGACACGCGGAGCCGGCTCCGACCACAGCAAGGGAGCGTGAAGACTCACCGAGGTCCGTGTGGGGGCCAGCAAGCAGCTGCTGGAACCTGTCGAGCCGGGAGGCCTCTCTCTCACTCAGCGCGCAGCTGCCGACGATGCCGGGGTCAGCCGCCGCGGCCAGCGTGCCACTGGCCGAGTGTGGGAGGGACTGAGACCTCTGCAGAGAGGCCGCGCCACCAGCACCTTCTGTGGGAGGTGAGAGAACACGGGGTGAGGGAGGAGCACCTCCTGGACGCCTCCCTGCTCAGACGGCCGCATCCCGCCGCGCGACCGAGCCGCTGAGCTCGCGGGCAGGCCACTCTGTCCCGACTGCCGCCACGGGGCAGCGAGTGCCTTGATTTCAGAAACACAGAACAGACACCTGCCTCCCTGGCACAGCATCCGCTTGTCATCAATAAAACAGAATCCAAAAGACCAAGCAACGACAGACAAGTGGAGACCACACAAGCTGGTGGCAGGACCCAGCTTCCACGGCCACCTGGAAGGCACTCGGGCCTGCCCAGGAAAGGCAGCTACGATCCGCTGTGGAGGGATGGGGCTTGGCGACCCACCAGGTCACCATGGAGGGAGAGCTGAGGACAGGCACAGACGCCAGGGCCCATAGGAGACCAGGACACAACAAGACCTTCCCACAGGCGGGCAGTGACCAAGGAGCCCCCAGGGATGAACCTGCCCACCCTGGCAAGGTGTGTCAGGCACAGCTCAGAGGGAGAGCCGCAGGCCCTCGGTCATGGAAACAGCCAACAGGTCCCACCGGCAACAGGCCCTGAGCCCCAGCTCCCCGCAGCCACCTCTCGCTCCAGCACAGACGAGCAGTGTAGGGAAGAAAACAAACTCCAGGAAATGGAGTGAAGAACCAATGCTGCAGCTCTGCGTTGAACTCCCCCTTGGCACGGCTGCCAGCCTGGCGGTGATGCCGGCACTGGCTCTGGAAGGCAAACCCTCAGGCGATCCAGGAGCAAAACGCCTCTGGCCTCTGGGCAGAACGTGGCCCAGTTCAGGTTCCAGAAAAGCCTGCCGGAGCAGAGCAACAGCCCTCTGGGAGCTCGCAGAGCCGCAGGCCCTGGACACGCGCACCCCTCTGCCCGCCCCGCCTACCTGCTGGGCAGGCCGCATGGCTCTCGCTGACCGACTTGACAAGCCACAGGTCGGCACCTGGGGCCGCAGGCAGCTCCGCCTCGGGGGCCGATGCCTCCTGCGGTGGGTGCTGGCCCTGCCGCTGGCTGTGGTCGCGCAGCACACGGTGGGCTGTCTCCATGACGACCTCGGTGTTGAGGCTCTCAGCTGCCATGGCCAGGAGTTGGTCGTCGTCCTCCCCGGCGTCCCAGGCGTCGCTGGTGTTGCTCTCGAACTCCTGGAAGGTGCTGACCCTCTTGGCCTTCACCGGGGTGGTGGGCACCTTGGGTGCGGATTTCAGCAGGCTGCAAGGAACGGCGCCATGACTGGCCACACCAGGCTTAACCACCCACCCTTCCAAACCAGCCAGGGCCGGCACAGCAGCACGGTGGCCTAAGCCGCAGCTCCAACGCCCACAACCCATATGGGAATGCTGGTTCGAGTCCCAGCTGCCCCGCTTGCAATCCACTGCCTGCTCAGGTATCTGGGAGAGCAGCAGAGGATGGCCTGAGGGTTACGGCACTGCTACCTACACAGCAGAGCCCAGAGGAGCTCGTGGCTCCTGACCCGGCCCAGCCCTGGCTACCGCAGCTGCCTGGGGAGGGAGGCAGACAGTGGAAGATTTCTCAGGCTTCCAATTTAATACTTTTTTTAAAGATTCATTTATTTATTGGAAAATCAGATATACAGAGAGGAGGAGAGACAGAGAGGAAGATCTTCTGTCCGATGATTCACTCCCCAAGTAAGCGCAACAGCCGATGCTATGCCGATCTGAAGCCAGGAGCCAGGAACCTCTTCCGGGTATCCCATGCGGGTACAAGGTCCCAAAGCTTTGGGCCGTCCTCGACTGCTTTCCCAGGCCACAAGCAGGGAGCTGGATGGGAAGTGGAGCTGCTGGGATTAGAACCGGCCCCCATATGGGATCCCAGCGAGTTCCAGGTGAGGACTTTAGCCGCTAGGCCACGCCACCGGGCCCAATTTAATACTTTTTTTAAAAATGGTTTCAGTAGCTGAGAATGACATAGAAAAAGCAAGCACAGCTCAGAGGCCCTGAGCCTAGGAAAGGAGTGCAGACAGCAGGGAAGAGGGGCCATGTGAGCAGCCTCCTCCAGCAGCCACAGGGGCTGCAGGCACCTGGACCTGCCCTCACGCTCACTGGGCGAGGGCCACCCAGCACCTGCTCCCACCAGCAGCCTCTGAGCAGAGCTCTTGTAATGGTGTAGAGCGGACGCACAGAGCACAGGCCTCCCACAGATTCGGAAACTTGTAACACCAAGCAGATTCCACCCAACAGGCCAACAGCATGTGTACCCCACCCACAGCACCCCGACACCCTCCACTGCTGCCTGCTCTGCTAGGGCGCCCAGGCCCAGGCAGTCCGTGTGGCAGGGAGAACAGGACACAAAGGTGTCAGGTACCCATGTGCTCGGGCTCTCCTGCGGAGCCCAACACTGTCCCCAACCACGGGCATCGGGCTGCCTCAGCTGTCCTCCTGGCCACAGGATGACCTGAGCGTGACCAGCAGTGCCCCACAGGAAGCCCCTGCTGGAGGTCTGTTAGCTGGACACAACGCCATTCTCCCCTGGGGAAAGGCAGGCAGCAGAGGGGAGCAGGCAGACACAGGAGGCCTTGGCCCACGGCATATGAGGGCCATGAACCAGATCAGGGGGTGAAACTTCACTTACGTGCCATGCACCAGGGGGTCAAACGGGGGGTGCTGGGCTCCATACACATGCTGGATGCTGTTCAAAGACAAAGACAAAAGACATGAGCTTATCTGCAGCTTTCCCAGGAGCAAAGCTCAGCCCTGAGCACCCAGGCTCCTGGGGGCCCAGCCGAGGAGGGACCCCTGGTCTGCAGAGGAGGTGGGCCCAGGCCCTCCCTGAGGACAGGCCGGCACAGGGGGCCCCCACCTCCCAGACCCTCAGGCACCCCCTCAAGACAGTGTAAGTGGGAGCACCCAGGATCACTGCAGTGTGCGTCCACAGACAGGAATCAAACCACCCTGGCAGAGAGCAAATGCAGAGGGAGAACAAGAGCCAGGAACTTTTTAGAACTCAGGGTCTGTTCAGAAAGTGTCACACTCAGCACCTTAGACTAGGAACGGGAGCAGGTGGAAACAAAGACCCCAGGGCCGGCCAAGGCACACGCAGGCCCCAGGGGACCCAGAAGGCTTCCGGTCCAGAACAGAGCAGCCCTCGGCCACACTGCCCTTCCAAGGGCGAGCATAAAGAGCAGCCAAGAGAAATGAGGCCGCCCAAGGGGCCAGAGAAAGAACAACACGGGCCTGGGGGCTCCCTGAGCTGCCACTCAAAGCCTGGACAAAAACCCCCGTTTGCTGGCCTCACTGCCATCAAGCAGCCCAACTGACGGGGTCCACACACAGTGGGTGTTCAGCCAGAGGCGTCTGAGAAGACAGCCCGGGTGCTCACAGGGCCTGTGGGTGCAAGTAACAGGCCGCAAGCTCCCCACAGATCACAGCAACAGGCCACACCTTTTTCCTGGATTCTGACTTTGTCTTTACTTGGCTAAAACCTTTCATTTTCTATGCATCATTTCACACAAACAGACAACTTGCAGTAAATACAAATTTAAACATGCAATACTGGGCCCAGCATAGTGGCCTAGCAGCTAAAGTCCTTACCTTGAACATGCTGGGATACCACACCGGCGCCGGTTCATCCCGGCAGCCCCGCTTCCCATCCAGCTCCCTGCTTGTGGCCTGGGAAAGCAGTCGAGCACGGCCCAAAGCCTTGGGACCTGCACCCGCGTGGGAGACCTGGAAGAGGCTCCTGGCTCCAGGCTTCAGATTGGCACAGCACTGGCCGTTGCGCTCACTTGGGAGGTGAATCACTGGACAGAAGATCTTCCTCTCTGTCTCTCCTCCTCTCTCCCTCCGCCCCCACCCCTCTCTCTCTCTCTCTATATATATATATATATGACTTTCCAATAAAAATAAATAAATCTTTTTTTAAAAGTACAGTACTAAGATGAGGAGCACAGAACTCTGAGCCCATCTTCCTGGGATTCCTAATAAATCCAGTTATTTTGAACTTTTCAAGTTTCTAGAGGCCAGTACCACAGCATGTAGGATAGGCTTCCACCTGCAGCACCAGAATCCCAAATGGACACAGGTTCAAGTCCCAGATGCTCCACTTCTGAGCCAGCTCCCAAGTTATGGCCTGGGAAAGCAGCAGGGAATTGTTCAAGTTCTTGGGTCCCTGAACCCATGTGAGAGACACAGTCAAAAACTCCTGGCTCCTGGATTCAGACCGGGGGAGTGAGCCAGCAGACGGCCAATCTGTCTCCTTCTCTTTGTAAATTTGCCAGTTCCGCATGCAGGGCGCACTCCAGGACACGGGTCCTTTCGTAGTTTGTTTTGAAATCTGGACTGTGAGTCCTCCTTGTTCTTTCCAGGAGAATCTGTTGTGCCCCTTGGATTTCCGGCTCAGACAGATTGTCAGTTTCTGCAAGAAGCTCGCTGGGGTTTGACGGGGAGTACGCTGGGAAGACAGAGCATGCTGACGGCGCTCAGTGTCCTCAGCGTGAGCATAACATCTCCCTGCCAGTTTACTTCAGTGGGTTTGGGTTTGCTTTTGTTTCATTATTCATTTGAAAGGCAGAGAGGCCCAAGGAGGGAAAGCCCCGGCCTGACCATCCACAAGGCAAGAACTGACAACCAGCTGCCCAAGGGGACACAAGAAGGCTGCACCTCAACTTCTCGCCTAAGGGACCCCAACAGCTCCCAGCACTCAGCACGAAGCACAGCTGGGCGCTTCTCCGACACCTCGGACCAGGATGGCTCTGCAGCACAGACGACGCATGGTAAATCTGACATCGAGCTAACCACAGAAATATGATTCCAAGGCTACCGTTAGGAAGGGTCATTCATAGCACAAGATAAGTAGCTGAAAAAGGACCTGGACCAGGAACACACCACAAACTTAACTCTCAATAGTGAAAAGGCAAACCAACTGAAAGCCAGATTTGAACAAACATCTCTCCAAAGACAACATACGAGAGGTCAGGAGGCGCACAGACGCTCAGCATCATCACGGAACAACACGTGAGACGGCACTTCACACAGACGAAAACTACAAAGACAAAACGAGGCGCAGCGCAGCAGCCCAGCGGCTAAAGTCCTGGCCTGGAACGCACCAGGATCCCGCACGGGCGCCAGTTCACATCCCAGCGCCCCACTTCCCATCCAGCTCCCCGCCTGTGGCCCGGCAAAGCAGTCAACCAGCTTTTGCAGCCACTTGGGGCGGAGAGAGGCTGGGGAGGAGAGAAGCTGAGGAGAGAAGCTGGGGAGGAGAGAGGCTGGGGAGGGGAGAAGCTGGGGAGGACAAAGGGTACACAAGTTAGCTTTTCATTCTCCTGAAATGAACCACTTCCCAGGCATGAATGCAGCTGTGTGAACCTCATCGAAGGTGTAATTGTTTTCAAAGGTAACGCAGCTGCCTCCTGGCTCTCCTGGCGCTCTTGCAACCCAGGCACCATCCCACGAGGAAGCTCACGCCAGCCACAAGCAACAATGCGTGCACAAGCCCCACTCGCCAGCTCAGCGAGCCAAGCTCTTCTGGCTTCAGTCCTGACCTTGGTCTTCCTGATGCAGAGTGGGGGGTTCCCACGGCACCCCACTTGAACTCCATCAGCAGAATCAAATGTTGTGTCATTAAAGTGTAAAGGAAACATTTGTAGCACACTTTGTCCAAGCACACCTCACTGCCACATCCTGCTCCTGACACTGCGAGGCAGCTTCCGGGTTCAGCAATGCAAGGGTTCAGGTCCAAGTTCCAGCTCCAAACGCATCCCGACTGGTAAAGCTTTAACCAGGTAAACACATCCCAAGTGGTAAAGCTTTAACCAGGTAAACACTCTGCGCCAGCTTCCTCATATGAGACCTGTTCACACGGTGAGCATGACACGAGACGCGGGCAGTCCAAATGCTGCACAGTGCGCACAGCCAGCCTCTCCCAGCACGGCCACGGACCCTCACATGGCCACGAGCAGCCTCTCCCAGGACACCCACGGACCCTCACATGGCCACGAGCGGCCTCTCCCAGCACGGCCATGGATCCTCACCTGACCACGAGCAGCCTCTCCCAGCACGGCCACGGACCCTCACATGGCCACGAGCAGCCTCTCCCAGGACACCCACGGACCCTCACATGGCCACGAGCAGCCTCTCCCAGGACACCCACGGACCCTCACCTGACCACGAGCAGCCTCTCCCAGCACGGCCACAGACCCTCACATGGCCACGAGCAGCCTCTCCCAGGACACCCACGGACCCTCACATGGCCACGAGCAGCCTCTCCCAGGACACCCACGGACCCTCACATGGCCACGAGCGGCCTCTCCCAGGACACCCACGGACCCTCACCTGACCACGAGCAGCCTCTCCCAGGACACCCACGGACCCTCACCTGACCACGAGCAGCCTCTCCCAGCACGGCCATGGATCCTCACATGGCCACGAGCAGCCTCTCCCAGCACGGCCATGGATCCTCACCTGACCACGAGCAGCCTCTCCCAGCACGGCCACGGACCCTCACCTGACCACGAGCAGCCTCTCCCAGCACGGCCATGGATCCTCACCTGACCACGAGCAGCCTCTCCCAGGACACCCACGGACCCTCACATGGCCACGAGCAGCCTCTCCCAGGACACCCACGGACCCTCACATGGCCACGAGCGGCCTCTCCCAGGACACCCACGGACCCTCACATGGCCACGAGCAGCCAGCCTCTCCCAGCACGGCCATGGATCCTCACCTGACCACGAGCAGCCTCTCCCAGGACACCCACGGACCCTCACCTGACCACGAGCAGCCTCTCCCAGGACACCCACGGACCCTCACATGGCCACGAGCAGCCAGCCTCTCCCAGGACACCCACGGACCCTCACATGGCCACGAGCAGCCAGCCTCTCCCAGGACACCCACGGACCCTCACATGGCCACGAGCAGCCAGCCTCTCCCAGGACACCCACGGACCCTCACATGGCCACGAGCAGCCTCTCCCACCACGCCCGTGGGTCTTAGGTGCCCTCAAGCACTCCCCTCTGCAGTCCTTTGTCTCTTCCATAACTCAGTTCGAGCAGTAGGGTGAGCACTGTGGCAGTTAACCCATCACTCAGGACACCCACACCCCATGCAGAGTGCCAGCTTAAGTCCTGGCTACTCCTCTGCCAGCCAGCTTCCTGCCAATATATCGTGGGAGACAGCAGCTGATGCTCCAAGCCCTACCCCCAAGTGGGTGACCCAGCCCGACTCCTGGCTTCAACCTGGCCAAGATCTCGCAGTTGCAGAGTTTGGGAAAAAGAACCAGGGGATAAGAACGTGGGTGGGTGGGTGGGTGGGGGTGTGTGTGTGTCTGCATGCACGTGCACGCTTCTCTTACTGTCTTTCATGTAAATGAAAATAAACTTAAGCACAAACCACCAGTACCGCCCACAGAGTGCCCTGCTGTCTCTCACAGAGGCCGGCTGCCACCAGCCACTGCCACCATTCCCGCCCCACCACAGCCAGACCTGCACAGGCAAACCCTTTATGCTTATTGGGCAAAAAATGTGCCACAGAGTTCAAGGCCAGAGCGACAGGAGCCTCATTTCCTCTAATTAAAACTGCATTTTCATTTGGTCTTACATAAGTAAAAAAAAAAAAAAAAAAAAAAGAAAACTTCAACTACAGTCATTTTTAAAACACAGCAACAAATCCATCTATCTCATTCCAAATAAT